TTTCTGATCTTACCAACTTCACATCGTTCACTCTAACCAGTGATTATATTTATTTTTAACTCAATTTATTTGTTATCATTTAGATTTATGGAATCATCATGAGCAGACAAAAAAACATAAAATCTCTTGAAAACACTAAAAAATGTATTGACGTCAATTTGAATGGCGATAAACTAAAACACTCAATGGCGATAACTGATCTACTTATTAAAAAATTGTATCTAAATTTGAAATCAATATGATCTATTTTTTGACTTATTGATTGCACGTATACTATTTCGAGATTTTTCTCATTCAGTTATTTAATCTCAAAGATCAAGTACGTACCTCCAATGATGATAAATATTCCATTTGTACTAAGTTTAAAATAAAAAATTAAAAAGTTTGTATTTTTGCATATTAATTGAAAATTTTTCCACAATACTCTGTCAAATTCTTATTGGCCAACAGTATGAATGAATGTCGCTGTTTCGACTGTATCATCGTTAATTTGCATTTCATTTCGATAAGATTAAATAATTAATAGTAAATAATGTATCAATGAAAATTTAAAATTAAGCTCAACATTATTTTATGATTTATTTAGCAATAAAGAAGTTAATTTTTTCATTATTTTAACAAAATTATGTAAAATCTCCATAAAAATCATCTATCAAAGATCACTTGGATTACTAGCGTTCTTGTGATGAATTCTAAAAGCTTAATTAGTGTTTTCCATAACCTACAGCTAGATTCAAAAATAAATTGGAAACAACATAATATCAAACAAACATGCAAAGGCACCCTGTCGCTTTACGAACTTGGGCCACGACAGCTTATTCATTTGTGCTATGGGTGGTCCGCAACCAGTTTTGCGCACCCAGAGCACCGAGAATTCGGCGCCTATGCTGGTGTACTTCAGGGTCGCAGAGCAAACTGCGATACCAAAACTAGCGCCTGAGCAACCCCTATTCGGGTATAGTCCTTCCATTATCAATTGCAGAACACAGTTATGTGGGGAATCATCAATATTTAATATATACGCACGGTACTCATGCCAAATTAAGAAACGAAAAATAATGTTTACTCCCCTTATACAAAGCGGTAAATATTAAACGAACCATCAGTTGTTTACAATGAAAACATCGAATCGTAAACTTAAATGCACTGTATTGGCCGAAGGTTTACGGAAGGCAGGTGTTCGAAAATATTCCTGGAAGACAGTCTGCGATATCAATGGAGTACTGTCGTGCGGTGTGTCTTGTATGTGTGGTTGGTTTCATTTAAATTTCCTTTAATAAATATAAATATGGCGTTCTTTAGACCATGGGCGAATGAAGAAAATGAAATTGCACAGTGTAGTGAGATTAAAGACAGGTATGACTTTAACGATAAGGATTTAGATATACAAACACAATAAGTTATTTTAAATATATTCGAATGTTTAAAAAAGGAACATATTCAGCAGTCATAATTACAATTGCTGAATTAACTAAAGTAAATAAATTTTCCGTTTATCCGGTAGTCGCGAAAGGGGTTGCTATGGATTATTCATAAAACCGAAAAACATGTAAAGAAAAACTGAAATCAGTTGACAGAGCTACCCAAGATTTTATACGAAGGACAATTTATAGTTTATATAAGGAGAACAGGGTTCCGACATTGGAAGTAATACAGCAAAAGGTGGCAGATTTTCTAGGATACACTTATACCAGTTTGGAAACATTGCGTCAAGTTTTGTCAGCATGTGGTTTTAAACACAAAAAATTGAATAAACAGATGGCAATCACCGAATCGTTAAGGATAGCAGTAGACCGCCAAGAGCTTTGGAAAAACTGTGTTGAACATGTTATCAAAGAAGAAGATGAGTATGTAGTATTACCCTCTTTACAACCCATCATAATTCAACCAAATGATGATTCTAGTTCAGAGGATTCAGACTGCCATGATTATTTATAAACATACTTTAGAATTGAATTGTTTTTTTCCTTTTGTTTTATTTGCAAAGAATTTATTTTCCTTTATGGTTTTTTCTTTGAAATTTCGTTTTCCAGAAAAAGAACGAATGGGGTACAAAAAGGGTTCAGTTCACGTCTGGTACCCTGTTTAATCCAAACGCCCTTACAGGCAGGTACACTTTACTCGCTTTTTTACGTTTTATAATTTAATATTCAGTTGTAGCAAGTTAACGAGCTATAATGATTTTTTTTTAAGTCCAAGTAAGATTACAATTAAGTGCATCTGTCTAAATAAGGGCGTATAATAACGTCCAATTTATAATTATTCGATTTCCTTTTAACGAATACTTTCTTGCATATGATATATATATATTAAAAGTATTAATAAAATAAATTTATAAAATGAGGTAGGTACCTACGCCTATGGCAGATCAAACAAAATTATTGTCGGTAAAGGTTCCGAACGAGTTTTTATGATCTGCAATTGATAATGGAAGAACTATATCACCATCATAGCGCTATACAGACTCGCTGATTCACTGTAGGTGAACCAGAAGCCTGTCACAACACATACTTCCGATTTATTAAAGTCTCAGTTTTATTTAAACTTAATTTTTAACAAAATTCACAATTAAAATTATCTTATGTTGATTTTTAAAATTTGACAGCTTGGTTTTGAGAAGATAGAATATGAAGTAGATAGAAACGGACTAAGGACTATTTTGTGATATGACAAGTGAAGGCACTTTGCGTCATATTTTGATTAATTTTAAGTTAATAATTTTATATTTGTAGATTGACGGAATGAAAATGTTCTTATATCATTTAAATCACATTATTAAAAAAAAACGGCATTTATTATCACCAAAACTAACTAGTTCGAGTTTGACATATTTCGTAAAAGAGTAATGCAACAGTGCAGACACGTTTAGTACCGTCGTCGCTTCTCTACATCTATGATTTGAAAGATTGGTATGGCCCGCTCTACTTTGTGACGTCACGGTGTGCGTTGCGCAAATTAGGCTGATTTAAGTTATTTTATGACTGTTTCACTAAGTTTCAGGGATCTGTAATCGCGTGACATCTTTCTTTAGCTAAAGCTTTTCTAAAGCGCTTCTCACACCTTGAGGGTCACCTATAAAAGCGCGCCACGAAAACGCGATTAGACAGAGCGCAATAGCGTACCCAAAAATATATTAATATTAAATTAATATTTTTATGTTATTTATTTTAAAATAATGTGTTTTAATGAAATGTAATTGGGTGTTTACTGCACAAATGAACCAATGGAGAAACCGCCCCTGTTTAAAAGTGTTCCCATTTTTAAACCAACTTTCATTAATGATATCGTTAATAAAAATTATGAAGAGCGGAAGACAAACCTTAGGGCACCTCTAATTTCTGGGTAAATTTGTGTAGATTGCACTTAGTCATATTGAACAATTTTTTATTTAAAAAATGTCGATACTTGAGTTTTTAAATAGAAATATTATCTTTAAAAGAATTCGCAATAATCAGTAAATATTATCATTAAATATGAGTATGGGGGATTTTACATGTTTTTATTCAAATTGAATTAATTTCAATTCAAATGTTTAAAATTAATACAAAATATACAAAAATAAATAAATAAAATGTATCTGTCATAAAAAACTGTCTGGTCGTCTGCTTATGTGTGCCAGCCTAATAACTCTAGAAAGAAAGATTCGATTGACTTGCGGTTTTGATTTCCTTGAATAGTTGCTTCTAACTTAGAACTCTATTGATTTTAAGAACTTTTGGTTCAACCTAACCACTTTAATATCAATGTACTTAAAATCCCATGCATTTATTATGGGGCTTATTTTAAGCACTAATTTATCGATTGCAATTTTTAGATACTTTATAGCTTAACTTTCGTTTAGTCGTAATCTGTTATGCAGAAACTGTTACCATGATAACAAATGGCTATGAATAAACAAAATCAAAAATCCTATGGCGAGGAAATGCGCAGTTACGCAAAAACTGTTACCTTGAGAACGTTTGTCGTGGCAACGACTAAACAAAAACCCTAATCTCGTGTTAAGGAAATGCGTAGTTGCCAAGTTATAATCATTTAATATTTACTTTAGTTTAGCCCAAATCAGTTATGGAGAAACTGTTGCCATTGAAAAGATTATCATGTTAACGACTAAACAAAAACCTAAATTCCATAGTGAGAAAATGCCTAGTTGCCAAGTTTTAGATGGTTACATTTTCACTTTAATTTAAAATGGGGTAAGTTTGGAGTTAATCCAAATATCAGAGGCAACTAAGAATTTCTTCACCACCGGATTTAGGTTTTTGTTTAGCCGACTCCACGACAAGTGTTTCTATGTCTAAGCTAAAGTAAAAATTAAATTACTTATAACTTGCCAACTATGCATTTGGGTTTTTGTTTAGTCATTACCATGACAAGTGTCTCTCTGGCAATAGTTTCACCATAACTGATTTCGTCTAAACTATAGTGAACATTAAATGATCTATAACTTGGCAACTATGTGATTTGCTCACCACGAGATTTGTTTACTTGTTACCATGGCAGCAGTTGTCATGGCAACAGTTTTTATGTAACTGATTTCGGCTAAACGAAACTTGACCCCATTTTCTTTTCAAGTAACACAGGTCCAGCATTTTTGAAAATTTAAATAGAATTAGAACTTACGAGATACTGTATAAAACTACTACTATAATAATGTGCAACCGCTCAAGAAAGATAGTCGCAATGCTAAAATTCTGCACTCAAATGAATCAGAAACAGTAAACTAAAACCATGAAGAAGAAAATGATCTAATTTTGACAAATATAAGTGGTCTTAACAATAAGTCTTTTCTCGAGCTCAATTTGGAACAGCTTTTGAGTCCTGAGGATATTTCTAAAAAACTTAGTAACTCGGAAGTCGTATTCGAAAGTAGTTCGGAGCCAGGAATCTACAATATCAGATCCCAACTTTAAAATAAACAATGTATTTTGGATCAAAGCGTTACAAATTTTCTCACGGTAATACCCGAAGATAACCTTTCTGATCCCGAGTATGACACCACTATGGAGCACAACGATGCTGACTCAGCTAAAGAAAGCATAGTCGAAGATAATTATTCAGATCAAAAACCGCAAGGGCAAGTATCAGAAGAGGATAGCGATTTAGAAGATCAACCTGCAAATGAACATGTAAATAGAAAGCGTAAAGGGTAAAATAAAAGGGCTAATAATAAAAAACTAAGACTGACAGGAAGAAGCTACTTGGGATTTACAAAGCCCAAAAATCAAAAAAATATGTTTCAAAACAAAAAACGTAATGAAAGAAAAATAAAATAAAGGTGTAAGAGTTCAAATAAAGAGAAGGTGAATGGTGCTACAAGAAAATGTTTTCTAATTGCAAACGAGGATCGAGAAAGGCTATTCAAAGAGTTCTGGGAAGATATGACTTGGGAGCAGCGAAAAGTTTTTGTTGGAAATACCGTCAAAGTATGTGATAAAAAGTCGTCAAAAAAAGTTGAAACCTGTCGTAGATCCCAAACACCAAATTATTCTTTTATTACTACTAATAAATCCATAACTGTAAAAAAAATGTACCTAAATTCTCTTAGTTTCGGAGAATGGTCCATACGGTCCTGGGCAATGAGGTCTGAAAATGGCAAACCGAAATAAGCGGGAGAGAAAAACGACGAAATATATTTGAAAATGACAGAAGGTTTCTCACTAAGTTTCTTCAAAATTTAAACAAGCTTCCTTCACATTATTGTCAAAAAACACCAACAGAATGTACTTGGAGCAATCTTTTCAGTCATGGTCGAATTTATACCGAGTCTACAAGAGGCGATTGTTGAGTTTATTTTTCCTTCTTTTGTGAAAATACACAAATTACCCGCCTATTAAAAATATTGTCAATGTGAACTTTTTGAAAATTTAATAAGTTGTCAATAATAACGTCGAAAATATATATTGCACAGCATTTTAGTTATTTCTCAGCAATTAATTCTTGTCATAAAATTGGTCCTAATCAAACCGGGAATTTCAAGTAGTCAGAAAGCTAGAGCAGGCGTGGAAGAATTGGATCTCAAGAAATCGAAGGTGTATACAGGTTTTGATTTGGTATCGTTAACGTTTAGAACTTATTTATGTAGTTATATGTTTTGCATTTCACGGGTTTTTATAATTTAGACTTATTTAACAGCCAACTCCTACATTGCCAAAATGCCGAAAAAGAATAAGTCTCTTGAAGAAGAGTAAAGCATGAAAGGGAGATTTTAAGGAACAAGTTAAATAATTTTCAGATATTTTTGAACGATAAACAGAATCATCAAAAGATTACAAAACTTGAAATTAGATTAGGTCAAATAACAAAAGACTTTGAAAAATTTGAAGATATTCAGTCGCGATTAGAGTTGAAAATCTCCATATTTCGACTAAGAAAGGATCAATGTGATATCTGTTTTAAGTATAAAAACGACAATATAGAAGCAGAAGAATATAAGGAACACATTGAGAAAAAAATCAGTAAGGAGGGAAGAGAAAACAGATAAAGAGAAGGCGATAAATGGGGAGTTTCACATGATAACCATGGCTGTCTCCATAAATACCAGCTAGCATGTTCTACTATAATCAAAAATTGTGTTGTCACAACTTCACGATTTACAATTTAGTCAACAACCAAGCCGTATATTATTGGTTTAACGAAACTGTTGCCGATGGACAGACATTTGTTTGTTTCATATTTAGCTGACTATTTAGAAGGGCAACTCCTAACTCAAGAGGCCAAAAGACCAATCATTATTTATTCCGATGGCTGTATGGCTCAAAACAGGAGTAGTCTGCTTGCCAATGCTCTTCTTTATTTATCAGATAAGTATGACGATTCAATAACACAAAAGTTTTTGGAAAAGGATCACACTCAAATGGAGTGTGACTCTGTCCATAATGCTATTGAAACCTGCTTAAAAAACAAGTGATTATTTGAAAATCACTAAGCTAGCTATTTAGTAAAGAGTATGAATTAGGATTTTTTCAAAAACTATGGCCATAAAGATTTTCTAAAGTATGCTTTGTTTCGGTCTTCAAGAATAAATAATAATTAGAAGTATTGTGACCAATATTGGAGCTTTACAATATAGTAATGGACAAATTACATTTAAGTTGGCATTTTCTCAAGAATACTTTCAGCCAATTCCCATAAGACCGAAAAATGTTGACTTTAAGAATGTAATTATTCCACCTCTATGTCAATCGCCTCTTCCAATTACAAAAAAATTCCTCATCTCTAAAAACATCTCTATTAAACGGCCATATTCTTGAAACCCGAAATCCTCCCATTATATTGTTTTGAGTCGTTGCCTTTAGTAATGCCTCAGCAACTACAACGGGGATGTCGTAAATGGTCATTGTTTGTCCTGGATATGATTTCATCAAGTTGTCAATGGCAACGTTAACAAAGTGCTTAGACAGTCCATATACCCCACGGTCCAAAGGCTGAAGTTTATGTGATGTGTGTGGGAGAAACGATAACAGCACCAGTTCGTTCGCTTTGCAGAAATCTATCGTAGGAACAGACACATGCGAGCTATGATTATCTAATAGCAACAAAACTTTTTTCCAGTGTAGGTCTTAAGTGCCTAACAAAATTTTCCATAAAAATAAAAAATGTGTCCTCTTTCATCCAGCCAGAACCATTGGCTTCACTAATACAACCCGGAGGGCCACCTCGAATAAAATGGGGATGATACTTTTTCCGTGGATATATGAAAAGAGGGGGTACAGTATTTCTCGCAGCACTGACAGCTGTGCAAACTGTTACCAAAGTACCACATTCCATTGAAGTAACAGCTCCTACTTTCTTTGTTCCCCTAACAGCTATGACTTTATTTGGTCTATGTACAGCTGTTACCCCGGTTTCGTCCACGTTGTAAATATCGGAAGCTTCGAACTTGTGCATTTCCAGTAGTCTTGAAAGATTATCAAAAAATCTGTCGACATTTACTTTATTAAAATTAATTGCACGTGCATAACTGGTTGCCTCCGAATGCAGATATCGGGATGTCTACGCATAAAGTTTGTAAACCAGTCTTTTCCTGCGAGACCATTCACTTTTGGGGAACTTCTACTTCATTTCTTAAAGCAAAATCATAGACCTGCAAGAAAAAGCAACTTAGACATCTCTCAAAAAAATATTTTTAAAATTTGTTACCAATTTTCGGATTTCCTTTGGTGTAAGACCAAAGTAAATAACAGCTGACACACGTATGTACTTCAAAAAAGCATCTTCTTGCTCTTTGGTTAAAATCCTAGTATGCGGATTGTAACCCATTCTAGGCGACCCACTCTCATTCAATTTTTTCATGTATCTGTTAAGTGTAACGTGGCATATATTTAAGTCTTTCGCCACTTGCCTTCGTGTTAAATTTCTCTCTATTATCATATTGGCTGCTCTTTGCATAAGGTCATCTGACGGTCCTCTATGGGTTTTTCTTATCCTTTGACGCGACATAGTACTAAAACATAATTCCATAAAGTTTCGTTCTTAGAGGTACAAATGTAACATATTACAACTGTACCAATTTAAACCGTTACATTTGTATCCTAGCCTCGTTGGTAGACACTTTAATTCATATCTGCTATAAGCAAAAACAAAACCTCAAAACAATAATAGCAATCTAATCACACATGTTTAATAGAGGCATTAACGGTACTAAAACATTTAATAACATTACCAATTATTATACGAAAAACTTTAATATAATCACTATTTCACTTTACTGCCTTTTATGCAAAATTTTCTAATAACTGTTTATCGGTACGTTTCCGTTACGCCACACTAACAGAGCAAATGCATAACAAGCACAGCTGTGATTATACACTGTTGCCAGATTTGAAAGTTTCGGGAGCCGCTGTTACATTCGTACTGCGTTACAATTGTACCCGACCTCCCCTACATTTACGTATCTTAAATCACGTGATCAAAGATTCACATTTTAGATGTATCCGATGTGGACAAACAAACTCATCATTAGGATGAATTCAGCCCATTTTTAAACTAACTAAATAAAGGAGGGTATTAAACGGACGGAATAGCAGTATTTTAAAAAAAAATTATCTCTATACTATCCCCATAACGTGATTTACAAACAGGAATACAAGGAATAAAATTGTGATTCCTTTTGAAATTTTTTCATTGTATCATTGATTTTTGTCCTTGATTTAGTTGTAATAAATCTTGTAACGGCGACTAATAGTACCTTGCTAGCTTCTAAATGATTGGTACAGAAAAAACATTTAGTATTAATATCCCCAATTGAGTTTTCATCACAAAAACATATTATCACGTAGACCCAACTTATAAAGGTTGGACTGGGAAGAAGGGTGGCACTTTAAACAACTTTTCTGATTAAACAAAAGTTTTAAATATTACAATCAGAATATATATTTTTTTAATCAGTAAATTATTAAAATTAAATTATTAAAAAAAGATAAAGTAGCATGTTTGAGTTTTGACTTGCCCTTTATATATTTGTCACAAAAAAAAAAGAAGTAACTTGGTAAAAAAATTGAGAATCGTCGAAAAACTATAGCCGCAAAAATGTTTCTTTTGCAGAATACCCGGATCACCCTGTATATAATACAAATCTAAATATCAAAATCATATAATAGTTAGTCCTGAAATGATATTGATCTTTACATAATTTTTCCTTTCAACTATCGAAATATTTATTGAGTCCGTCTCTGATGATGGTATGTTATTTATTTATGTCACACATTATTTTATCCAAAAATTATATATAAGAATGTAAGTTAATAAGAAAAACGGTATTCAAAGAATTCCATTCTCTCAATTTTCATCCGCAAACATGATGCTCCCCCTAACCCATACAAGGTGCATAAAGGCTAATATCAAAATATTTTTAATAAAGAACCCCATCAGCATATTAAATAAAAGGTTTGGGAGGCGCGAGAGGGAGATATATATATTGACTGCGAGAGTGTATTAGGGAATATTAATAACTGCATTCCATGCAGGCATGTTTTGTACATGTGTAAATTCACCCTTCTAGAGTATACAGCGTGTGTTAAAAAAATAAAATTCCAATAATATAAAGAGCTATCGAAAAAAATCATATTTAAAATTAGCTGTGAAATTTAAAAGTTTTTTGTTGGTACTTACGCCACTTCTACAGACTGACATTTTAATCTTGAAATTGAAACTTAACCTTTGTGTCAAATATTTCAATACTTTTATTAAGAAAAATTAAATATAAAAGATTGTATTTCACACAGAGCCAAAAGGGAAAATTATTTCCGTACTGGGCCTCAATTCTCGACTTTTTTTCCCATGAGAAAAAGATAATTTTCCTATGGGAATTTATATTTTGTATTCTCGACACATCCACTAGGAATATTTTCTCACGAAAAGTATGGGAGCAAATACACCTGGTATTTGGCATGGGAAATCAAATTTCCAATGGGAATCTGTCACCGGTGACATTTGCTAGTTACTTCAAATAATAATATTTATATATTATTATTACTAATATAACTTTCCTAAAATGGATGAAGCTATTTTACTTTCTCAATTAAACAATATAGAAGAGGCAGAAGAAGAGCAATTAATGTCCCAAGAGATTTTTGGTCTAAGTGGAAAAATGAGGCAGGGGATCCCTTTGAATCCTTAAATGATAGACAATTTCTCAAATATGATCAACGCAAGTTTTCTAGAATAAGCAATCCCAGAATAAATTTTGTTTCATTATTAGGAATAGGCTATTTCAGAATAAATTTTGTTTTATTACGCAAAATAAATAGCAACTGTTAATAACATAATGAGATGGTAAAAAACTTGAAGCTAAAATATTGAACACTCTTAAATATCCTTAAAATTCCTCTGTTTCTGCTATTTTTTCCAAGGCACAAGTTATTTGTTCTTTTGCCAAAACATTTCTCTCTAATAACTTGAATTTTTTGTCATAATAATTTTCTTTATTAAAGTTTTTATTTTGTAACATGCGTTCAATATTTCGGCTAGTATTCAAGGTTTTAGTTAACCTTGTAGCAGCTACTCTTCGTTTGGGCTTTATTGTGCCCCTTGTACTAGGTTTAGCACATTATATATTTTCACATTATTTTCTAAATAAGAAGGGTTGATTGTTTTCTCTGACAAGATGGCAAGTGGCAAAACAAGAGTCAAAAGTTGACGATATAATCAATGATCCCAACATTACTACTTGAAAGAATTGAAATATAATATTGATTATGATTGGTCAGTTTCCAATATTTACATACTTAATACCCGACATACGTTAGACATACGAATAATCGAAATTCCCATAGGAAAAAGGTTCCTAACCTAGTCGAGAATACCATTTTATAATACCACTGGAATATAAGCATGGGAATATTTATCCATGGGAAAATTTTCCGGTGAAGTCGAGAATTGAGGCCCAGGTGTGAAAGTAAATGTCGATCGGCAGAATTCAATTCCAGAATGTACTCGTATTACTGATTTTCTTGAAGAACATCCTAAATAATTGTTTAACTTGTAATATGATCTTGTTATTTTATCTATTTTTATAGTGTTTTAAGCTCTATGATTTTGGGGAGTGGGTCAGGTTATTAAACAACTCGTATTACTTTGAAAAAGAATGTTGAGCGCCACTATATTTAAAACTTTCTAAACTTGACAATCGTTTAGTGATGAAAATATAGAAAATCACTAACCATTAAGATATTATAATTAAATAAGGTTTCAGATAAGGCAGCGACAAATTCTAATTCACAGAGACTTACTTATTCAAATTTAAATGATTTATTATAGACTTATCTGTGGTATAACAGGTATTTTAGGAGTGACTGTAGAGGCCTTCTTAAAGGGGATTCGTATGATACGCTTGGATATCACCAACTTCATAGGTAAAGTTAAATCTCGTAAACTTCTTTGGATGGCTCGAACTAAACCTCTTGATAT